GCCGAGGTGAGAGGAGAGCCTGCCTGTGTCCTTGCAGACAGAGGGTGTGTGTAGGACACAGACACGGTGTTTACAGAGAGACGTCTGGAGCCCGCACGCTGGCTGTGCTCTAAGACCTGCTGTGCTCCTCTCACTGCCGGCCTGTGCTCTTGGCTCCCCTCTGCTGTCCTTTCTGCCTCATAGGTGTCCTCCTTCCAGCCTCCTTGGGGAGGCCAGCCCTGACTGCTCAGACCAAGTTAGTTCCCCTGTGGGCTAAAGGCACAGGAATGGACCCTGGGTCTGCCACTTACTGGCCAAGTGACCTTGGGCTGTTACACCTCTCTCTGGGTCTCAGTCTCCTTATCTGTCTAATGGGTATAATAGTGGCACCTGCTTCAGGGTTGCTGCCATCATTAGATGACTTAATGTATGTGCTGTGTGTAGAATGACGACCAGCACACAGAAGGAACTGTATAGACTCTGTACACAGTTGTAATATGAATTATTTGAATAATTTCTGTTTAATGCCTATCACTCCAAAGTAGATGGAACTTTTTCTTTCTGTATCCCGTGAACATGTTGAATGAATGAATGAATGAATGAAAGCAAGTGGCCACAGAGAGGCCGATGTCACGCAGGTATCCTGCCAGTGGCTGCACATTTTAACCACTTGCTCTTGAGTGGAGACAGCATTGCTCTTTGTTGCAAGCGGCTGTTACCCTCTTGACCTATAAAATATACATACGTGAAGAGACAGGCTACAGGAGGAATAAACAACACGCAAATACCTGAGTGTCCTGAAATATTTTAAGTGAAAATCCATTGTGGCCTCTTACGTGTTGCTTTCTCTGCTGGCTTCTTCCAGCCTGTGAGGGAGGTCCCCACACTGCCATTTTCCAGATGAGGGAACTGGGCTTTGGGCAGGTGAGGGTACCTGCCCAGGGCACAGAGCTGGTAGGTAGTGATGTTCGTTCTGTCACCCACGTTCTGCCCTCTTCGCACAACACACAGTCGCCATGCTTATCCACGTCATCCACACATGGTCCTGACCAGAAAGTACGAGGCAGAGCAGCCAGACAGCTCCCGAGAAAAGCCCGAAGTCCTTACCCTGGAGGAAGAGCCTAGAAGGATGGTGAGACCTGGTTAGTCCTTACCCTGGAGGAAGAGCCTAGAAGGGTGGTGAGACCTGGTTTAGGTGCAGAGCTTTGTGGGACCTCTGCTTTCAGAGCCCGGGGTCAACAGTCTAGTGACCTAGCTCAAAGGAGCAGGGAGAGAAATGCTCGTCCAGAAGATACGGCAGACTGTAGCCTCTCTGCTTCTACGCCCTTCCTTCCTTCTTCCTCCTTCCTTCCTTCCTTTCTTTCCTTCTTTCCTTCTTTTTTCTTCCTTTCTTTCCTTCTTTCTTTTTTCTTTTCTTTCTATCTTTTGTTCTTTCTTTCTCCCTTCCTTCCTTCCTTTCTTTTCCTTTTTCTTTCTCTTTCTTTCTTCCTTCCTTCCTTTCTTTCCCTCTTTCTTTCTTTTTCTTTCTCTTTCTCTCTTTCTTCCTTCCTCCCTCCCTCCCTTCCTTCCTTCTTTCTTTCTTTCTTTCTTTCTCCCTTCTATCCTTCCTTCCTTCCTTCCTTCCTCTCTTCTCTCTCTCCCTCTTGTCTCACTCTCTCCCTCTGGCTGAAGCAAAGCCACGTGACATTGTGAATCTGCTCCTGGACCTGAGATTCCAGAAAGGAATGAATCACTGAGCTTGTTTAACTGTGCTCTGAAGGACCATCAATGTACTTGCTAAGCAAGTGCCTGCCTGCAGTGAGCCGACCTCCTCTGGCTGCACACATTGCAGCCCCTCTGCCCCTTAGTCATTTCTAAAGTACGTCGAGTGCTTGTGAAAAGGGCTCCTCTTAGACCACCAACCCTTCCAGCAAACACTGCATCCTGCTTGGCGCTGTTTGGGCAGCAAGCTGGCATTGCTGAGTGTAGCTGGATTTGAACCAAGGACTCAGGACTACAGGGCTCATTATTCTTCCCCTTGACTGTAGACAGTCTCCTCACATTGTCTTTCTGTGGTTTCCTCCACCAGAAATGCATACCTTAATTGCTAAAAAAGCCACCCTTTTAAAGTAGCATTTAAATGGGATGAGATCTCACAAATGGAAGGAATTCAAATGTGTCCTTTGAAATAGGAATCTGAGGGGCAGAGTGTGCCTGTCTGAAGGTTCAGCCAACCAGCCCATGGTCTGCAGAGCTGTTTACTGCCATCCACACTCCTATTTCTAGGCTCCCTTTCTGCACTTACATCCTGGAATCTCACCTGCTCCAACTCTTGGGAGTTCTTCAGCGAATTCTTACCTCCAGAAAGACGTAATGAAAGAACAAGAGTGGCGTCGTGGTTCTGGGTTCCTGGATTCTACTTGGCCCAGTGGCACTGCTGTGTGGAAAGTGATGCTTACCTGTCTCCCGAGCCCTTGAGGACAGGGTGCTGGGGGAACCTGGGGCAGGAAGGCATGGAGGGGCTTCTGGTCCAGAGGCAGTTGGATGAGGAAGTACACACCCTGTTGGGATTGCACGCCCCCCCACCCCGCCAGTTCTGTGCAGCAAAATATTTGGAGCAGGTTATCCAGGGACGCTTGGTTCTATGTTAAAATTATTTCTACATCTTAGGAACAAGATGGAATTAATTTCGTGCAGATTTATTTAAGTGAACACTGATTGGATTGGGTGTGGCTGATGAGTAAGCCACGACATTGGTTGGTTCCGAGACAGAAAGGGAGCCAAGGGAGTACGTAGATACTTTCTAAATGTTGTCTTCAGACCTCAGCCGCTAATCAAAGCACGAACCAGCAGCTTGGAGACTTCAGGCCCTAGGTTACAAAATATTATCTTGATTCAATTGAGAAACTCTCTTGGGGTGGGGGCTTCTAATTATTATTTGGGATGTTTGCATTTAGCTCAGAAGACTAAAACCTACATAGTCGTATTCAGAAATATTACTGAAATATTGTCGTTTCCTAGAGTCAAAATAGAAAACATTTTTTGACTCACTGCCGAGACACATGATAAAAATAAACCGATAGGGCTTCCCTGGTGGCGCAGTGGTTGAGAGTCCGCCTGCCGATGCAGGGGACACGGGTTTGCGCCCCGGTCCGGGAAGATCCCACATGCCGCGGAGCGGCTGGGCCCGTGAGCCATGGCCGCGGAGCCTGTGCTCCGCAATGGGAGAGGCCACAACAGTGAGAGGCCCGCGTAACACAAAA